AATTATTGTATGGCCATGAAGATTATTCGAGTGACGAAAATAAAAATGTATTTATATATGTCCAACAGTATGTATCGAGTACTCGCAGGTTTTAAATTTGGTCACGTTCTTCTGTCTCCTCTCCAACAGTCCTCATTATCTTTCATATTCATTTCTTAGCTTGTGTCCGTATTACATGGCATAACGTACACTTGTGTGTTCCTTATTATTTTAGTAATCCTCTGTAATGTTTAACTTTCTTTTAAGTGCACGAGAGCGTGAATGCAAGAAGTGTGCGTGTGCTTGAATGTATGTAATATAGGCATGTGATGGGCCATTCAGTTACAGCCAGTGCGGTAGAAACGAATTTTCGAGAAAGGATGGAATGAAAAGGAGAAAGACACAAAGCACGGGACGTGACGAACTGTTGAATAGTTGAAAGTATGGAATAGTGCCAGGATATCACTGCGCTGACTGTGCTGGATGGTTCCATTTTCATGACCAAATTTCAAAATATACCATAATTTGCAAATAAAAGTAAGAATGAATGTGTGCATTATATGTTGAATATTGAGATGTACATTATAATTTATAAACTGCAATGAATAAGTAACATTCTCTCACAACCGAGTGCTTTTTCGGATTTTAAATAACAGGTGGGGTTCAAAGCGAAATAACATGTAGCAAACCTGATACATTGTAATAGGTTTGCGTCCACTCCATGAAAACGTACCACAAATCATGCTATTATGAATATATACATTCGTGTGTAGTCAGAATAAATTCTGTGTATCTGTGTGTAATACAGGTTGTGTCTGTGTGTAACACAGGGTGTGTCTGTGTGTAATACAGGGTGTGTCTGTGTGTAATACAGGTTGTGTCTGTGTGTAATGCAGGGTGTGTCTGTGTGTAATACAGGGTGTGTATGTGTCTGTGTGTAATACAGGGTGTGTCTGTGTGTAATACAGGGTGTGTTTGTGTGTAATACAGGTTGTGTCTGTGTGTAATACAGGGTGTGTCTGTGTGTAAAACAGGGTATGTCTGTGTGTAAAACAGGGTGTGTCTGTTTCAATTATATCCAGGATGAGTTTCATTTTATTATGGTGTGCGATAATCATGCAGACCTTAGATTGTACATTTTTAATAAAGCTGCAGAAATATGCTAACTTTTTAAAAATTCTAGACCATGTCAATAAGTTTGTATTTACTATGAACAGTCCTGAACTGCAAACGATATCATCTAATCAAATGTATTCTATGTATAGGAGGAGGAGGAGGAGGAGGAGGAGGAGGAGGAGGAGGAGGAGGAAGAGTAGGGGTAGTATTTTATCATAAAATTGTGATGTTTTATAATTGACCGATCATCTTATCGTGTCCAATAAACCTGTGTTTGGCTGGGCATAAATTCATTCTCAGTATTAAAATGTATTTTAATTTATGCTTAAACGAGGGCAACTAATTCTATGGGTGACAGATCTAGAGATTTATTATGCAAAATTAACATTTCGACATTGAAATATCTTTGAAATATACTGCTGTCTGGAGTTGTGCTGTCTGGTTGTATAATGGCGTCCACTCCATGACGCTGTACTGATCTACGTATACATGCACGTTTCTGAAACATCTTGTAAACATCAACATCAAATCATTTTAAAGTTTGTATATCACCTTGAATTTAAATTGTGAGGGTGTGTCCGGAGGTTCAGGTAAACACGCTACCCAGCGGGCCCCGACAGAAAGGTCACAAAGTAAAAATAAGTCTTAAAAAGTCACACGTAACATAAATGTATAAAACGCTGGCAGTGAGTAGATCCATGTCATATCAAGGTGTGCCGTTGATTACACACACTTTTACTTCAGCAGCTGTACATACACACGTGGTAATACGTATTCCATAATTGCATATTCTGAACGACTTTTTCAGGGGAGCTGACTTTATGAAATGAACCGTGCTGAAAACAAATCTTAATTCTTAAGGGGGGGGGGGGGGGCATCTTTTAGCCGTATATGATGCATTGGAGAGAATTGGCGAGGTCATTATTTACCCTCACATACTAAGTTGGAGCATATTAGCCAAGGAGACGGACAACTGGCATCACCTTGGTATACAGCTATACATATGTCAATAAATCACAGGCCACTAATCGGAAAAGGAAACGCACTACCTCTGTGCATATGCCTACCAATACTCATGTTCAGTTTCATAATTATGAAGCAAATAAAGAAGAAGAATACTATAAGTAAGAAACACAGCAAACTTATGAGCTTATTATCCTATAATTATCTGAGCAATCTATCAGATACAACAGGTTCCTAAAGTTGTAATCCATAAAATCACATGTTGCCATGCATTTTTTACAGAAATTCAGTTGCTCTAATTTTGAATGTTTGAACATATATGTAATTCAGAAAAGAAAAAAACATCAGGACTCGAAATTTGAAAATTCTATCATAACCTCTGTTTCTAAAGAAACTCTCGGAGTCTTTTATATCTATCGACAGGTACAATAATAACTATGTATTTAAATAAGACTGTATTTCCCTTGTAGTATATTAACTCGCACAGAGGATACATGAGGTACCACCCCTACGACAATAATTCATATTAGTATGCATTTCAATAGTTACGTATTGTATAAGGTATATTAATATCCATTACATTTGAACCAGTGAAATATCAGGAATTTTCCACCTAATAAACATGATAAACGAAAGGTCATTTCTAGTACTGTCCAGTCAGTACTTTCTATTCACTGTGTAGATTTTTAAATTAAAAGAAAATAGTTTTAATACGCTTTTTCTCATTAACTGAACAAAATAACTCGTTGAAATTTTTTTATGATCCTAAATAAATACTGTTAGAAATACTTTAGCAAGCTTTGATTTGAGACATACATATGTAACAGGAAAAGCTATGCAATGTTTTTGACAAAGCAAAGACCAAATGGCAGCCGTCTAGCATGAACGTGAGTCAGTGTCTGTTGGGGATAGAGACAACGTTGCATGCGATCTGTAGCTCGTTTTGTCAAGCGTCATCTGTTCCTACCATCGTTTGATTGAATCAACAATGCATTGTAGTATTGACTAAACCTATGTGTAATTATACAACACACAACTCCTGGTTCTTATAATCTCAACCGTGGTATAAAGATACCATGTCTTGTAAAGAGTTCAATGTAGAAAACGTGAACAGGAATTCATACGTATTTGAGGAAAGATGGCGTATTTCATGTTTATAGATTATTGAATTGAGTGCACCGAATAAGGTTATGTGTGTTTTAAATGGGTTGATTAGAAAGATTGTGTTCGATGTTTTGTTTACATGTGGATGTTTTGTAAACTCGTTTTTAGATTTGTAGAAAAGTACCATCAATGTTCATTTATTGTACAGAAGAAACTTTAGTTTTGTATATTTTGTTTATCGTCTTATCAACAGCTAAGGTTATATAAGGAAGTACCTCCATGTGTGTTGTGTATGCGTGCTTACCTGTGTGTGTGCAGGAGGCAGAGTATGTTGATGTATTTAACTACTTGTATTAGCGCGAATCTGGCCCTGCAATCAGGAAACGATCTTAGTCTAAAATTGTCTGAAGTTTTGACTTAACGAATGACAAATAACGTCATGGAAAGTTACATCTTACGTGATTGACTAAGCAAAAAGTCGAAGATTGTTTCATGATTCCGGGGCCTGATGCCGACTTTATAGTGCTATCTCACTGAAATACCATGATGTAGGCACAGCATTCCGCCCGGTCACATTATACTGACAACGGGTGAAACAGTTTTTGCTATACCCTAATTACTGAGCGTTAAGAAGGAAATAACAACTACCATTTTTAAGGACGTTGATATGTCCTGGCGAGGGGACAGAACCAATGGCCTTCTTCACCAGGGCGAACGTTCAAAATAAAATGCAAAAACAATTCTTCTTCACCACTTACAGACAAAAGAAAAAAGAATTAAATCACTATTTGCAAGTCAGAAAGTATATTTTGACCGCATCACAAAAGTTGTGTATTCCTACGAGCTTGGAAAATATCAAATTTGATAAAAGAAAATGTGTCAGTAAAGGAATCAGTTTTGATTGTTGACTAGATATCTAACTTTTCAAAACAAAATAATTCTGATCCGAAATATATAATTTTTCTGTCTGTATCAAAGGAACTATATTTTAGAGAGGACACAACATGTATATGGTAGTGACACGGTTTGTTATGACGTCACTGACCCGTACGCTTGTGAACAAAAGTGGATTGGAATGAGCGTTTACTTGCATTGTTGTTCGATTTGCGACCATTATCATATTCCCCCAAAAACATGATCTACGATTTATCGTCATTATACCATCGCAAACAGAGTTTTACCTTCACTATTTTCTATCGTTTGTTATGACTTGGTATAATTCAAGGATCTAGGATGGAGCAGTGATAAAAACAACCGTATACATACAATTGGGTTTAAAATACATAGCTTCGGTTTTTTTGTAATATTTGCAATGGTAAACACTTTATTAACACATTTTCCTGAATTTAAAAATAGAAAAACAATGGCGAGGAGTTTTGATCATAAAACCCGTCGAAACGAAAATACTAAGGAGACCCCATGTGGCTTTCCCCTGGTAATGTAATGTACGGCAATAGAATAATAGGAATTGATTTTTAAAGACAACATCGCCTCTAATCATATACAATCCGTGCATGCGAACTAGATGTAGTTTTGTTTTGTTTTGTTTTTTTGGAAAAAAGACTATTTATGAAAATATCAATATATGACGTATATCATTTATCATAGTGAACAAGAACTCGAAGGGAAAATCAACTCAATGCTATTGTACAAATACTGCTCCAGCATCGCCTAAGGAATGAATATGTATATCACCTTAATCAACTCCAGCTCCATCAGGCAATGTTCAAAGCCTTATAATAATGTAGGATCCCTACGTCAATTATTGATTGACGTGAGGAGTGGGATAGATATACAGGTAACACTGAAGGTAAACACGACAGGTGACATATCGGAGGGCTCCTCTGGCTGAACAAACATGGACTCCACACAACACGAGATCGTATCTCGGATAAGTCGAACTGTCTTTTCCAGGATGGACTTATATGTAAAAGCTGCATTCCAGGCTTACATCTTACTGTCACTATTTCAAGGTAAATGTTCATTTCATGCCGATATTATATTCTTATTTTCTATTTCATTTCAGCATATGACTTTGAATTGGTTTTATTTTAAAGGTAAGATTCTTTGAATATCTACAATACATATCACTAGAGGATCTTACGTTATGTTTCTAGACACATATTGAATTTCCTTTATTGCCGGCCAAAACTTATTAATAAAATAAATACTATCTGTTATATATACAAATATATATATTAACCGTAATAAGTGTAAATTCGAAATAGTTTTAAATTAAAATACATTTTGTGTGTTTCCCTTTTGATTCAGTGTCTCCTCAAATCCTTTTGACCATTTCTACTCCCTTTCAGTTAAAATTGTGTCTTTAAAAATGTTTTTAGAACGGCAATATATGTATTAACTTCAATACATATAACAATCCGAAATTATGAGGTAAATTTAGTGTAAACCGGTAGAAAAAGTACAATTTTGTCTTGTGTATCGCCTCGATACGCGCCTCTTGAAATAGGGGGGCGAGTGAAAAGTGAGCATAGCATCAACGAAAAAAAGATTCAATCAGAAGGATATGACAGAAGTTTGGGAAACCAAAACAAAAGAAAGTGCATCATGTTCTTTCATAATAAGTGAAGGAACTAATCAATAATTCCTAATGATATAATCATAGATATCACAGAGACAATGACATCAATGATAGTATAGTCAACATGTACCTTTAGCTTTTAATAGACATACATATACAGTTTCTCATAACAGAAAAAATAACACCAAATTAAATACCTATAGCTTAAAACAAAAACAATAGTATAAGTGCGTATACATAGTATACATTGTATATGCATTTAACAACCGAAAGCAACAAGATAAGGGTCTGTGTTGGCCAAGTGGTTAAGGCGTCTGACATTCCGCTACCACTAGCCCTCCATCACTAGGTCGCGGGTTCGAGGCTTACGTGGAGCAGTCGCCAGGTGTACTGGCCGTAGATCGGTGTTTTTTCTCCGGGTACTCCGGCTTTTCTCCATCACCAAACCCTGGCACGTCCTTAAATAAGAAATAGCTGTTAATAGGACGTAAAACACAAACAAGCCAAAGGAACAAGAAAATACTTAAGTGTAAATAAAACCATACCTCGAACTTCGAATCGACATATAACTAAGGTAACATATTAACAAAGGAAATGTTGCATGTAGCCCCGTAAAAAAGGTACAAATACAATAAGACCAGGTGTTCCAAAAGGATAGACGTCTTCTGTTTCATCGACGACACCCGTCATGTCAATCTAGGTCAAATCAAAATAATGTCACGTCCTCATACTGTACCAAAAACTGTGGTAGTTACAACAACACTACAAGGCACTAATAGACATAACCAAAACTATCGACACATATTAAAAAAAAAAAAAAACACATGTAGCATATTTCCCTATGAGATCGTTATGGCCGCCATGAAACGTATCAATAGTCTTCAACACGTCAATAACATGTATACCAAACAGAAATAATAGCATAAGTAATAATATGATAGAATAGAATAGAATACCATAGAGACGATAAAACATTAGAGATGGTTTGCCTATTGGTCATTTTCTGTATCTTACAACAGACACAACAACATCAATGCTTACATCATTATTACAAAGGTAATAGTTATATCACGATGTACAGAATGAGAGCATGCTGTATAGAATTCACTTTCAGGATGGGTTTAATCTAACAGATCCATCATTCCAAAATAGTTTATTGAAAAGCTCATCAGGACTGGTTAAATATCAAATTCACTCTAAGATATATCAACGATATGCTATTTTTAAATAGCAAGATATTGTTGACAACGTCGTTTGTTTATACTCTCTCCAAACTTGACACCAAGGACACTACAGACTATTTTAAATAAGCCGCTTTCCAAGACCTTAACTTACAATAGGGATGGTTATTTCTTCATTAGATGTTTCGTTGTGAGGGCGTGACATTACTTGGACATTTGTTGCAAATTTCGTCGGTGAAGCTGAAGACGCTTTCCCTTCAGGAACACCTGGTCTTATTCTCTTTGATCTTTTTCACAACATGTACATGTACATATTCATTTTTTCATGTTTTGCCATATTTATATAGATTTTGAATTCTAATAATTGTTTTGTTGACATTTTGATACGCGGGGCTGGTAAAAGTATAAATACTCGTGATATATTCTTTTGGCTTTTAACAATGTCATAAACAAACAACACCATTAGATATACCACTACGCAAATCTTTACCTACGCTGCTACCCTACTGCGTCCTTGTTTTACGTTGTTCTTTGTTGGATCGTTAATGTAGATTTATTAATTTGTCCATCACGAATGTATCTCTTCTGATGTTAGGTATCTTTTATGTATTCTTTGACGTTATAGAATGCTAATTCAAATGTGTGTGTGGTGGGTTTGTTGTCTAGAGCAAGGTAAGGCGGAAATTGACGAGTATTGGCTTGCGAGGTTATTTATTTTTTTGTATTACTTGACCTTTCTAATTCTAAGTATCTTACTGTAATATTTTTTCTTTTATTCTTACCATCACAAAATTGAAACAAATAGATAAAAAATAGTCCTAAGATAAATAGTAGTGCCGCACCAGTTATAATCTTAAAACAGTACCACTTCAGTTGTAACTTTTTACGACACAACAAAGCAACAAATAGGAGGGTTCTTATAAACTTGAGTTGCTTCCCCTTTCAACATAATTCCTACTTCATTTTGATGCTGATCATTTACTTATAAATCCTGGATAATATCATTGGTTAAGTGTACGATTGGCAGGGGTTAATTCAATTCCGAATGCAACGCCTATACGTTTGTTTCTTTATATTATTATTTTTTAAATACGCAACTCTCAATTTTGTCGAAGGTTTGTATAAAATCTTAAATGAAACCTCATTTGTCCTTCAGAAATTATTTTCCCGTATTAACATACAATGATTGACATTTTACCTAAAACGGGTACAAAATGTGACTCACATTTAGATCATGCTATATAAGGTGAATAGTTTCATTCCCTCGCTATATAGTGTACATGGTAATTCCAAATCTATGGCCGACACATTTGTTTATAACATGTAATTCATAAAGGATAAACTATACGTCAGGCAGACATGAGCTATATAATAACTTGACACTTGACCCTATGTTGTGACTTTGTCCTTTGACAATAACGTCTAATAAGTGTTCACGACATTTCAGCCAGTCATGGTTTCAAAAAAAAAACATATTGAGCTGTCCAGAAGTAATGACCGAGAGATTTAAGTGTCAGTGTCTTCCCGTGATTTTGACCTTGTAAGTACACATGAATGGACCAGAGAGTAGACACGCATTACATTCATTTAACCCATTCTTGAGAGGGTTTTCATTGTACGCTCTTAAGATGCTTTGGTTTGATTGTGTTTTACGACCTATTAACAGCTATGGTCTTTAAGATGATTTGGTTTGTTTGTATTTTACGTCCTATTAACAGCTTTGGTCTTTAAGATGATTTGGTTTGATTGTGTTTTACGTCCTATTAACAGCTATGGTCATTAAGATGATTTGGTTTGATTGTGTTTTACGTCCTATTAACAGCTATGATAATTGAGATGATTTGGTTTGATAGTGTTTTACGTCCTATTAACAGCTATGATCATTGAGATGATTTGGTTTGATTGTGATTTACGTCCTATTAACAGCTATGGTCATTGGGATGAAAGGATTCTGAGGGATACATTTTCGGCGTTACGTAAAACAAAACATATATTGCGATATATGTTTTATGTATTTGGAAACAAACAGAACCATTCTTTAGTACCCCAATTTCACTGGTAGGAAAATAATTATATTGTTTATTTAACTTTTATTATCACTGTTATTTGTATGTGTCCATCAGCTATTTACATACATGTATTACTATCTTCAACATATGGTACCCCTCCAATTATCATGAGACAGAATCCATTTATTTTTCGAACGGCTATTCCGTCTTTGCGTATTGCAGAGTTGTCCTCTCTTGGGAGCAGGTATTGATTGTTACGTCACTTGTTTGAGAGAGTAACGTCATCAAATTTTGAGAAACCGACGTAATTTTCTCACACAAACCAATGACGTAACAATCAATCCCTGCTCCCAAGAGAAGATAACTCTGCGATACGCAAAGACGGAATTTGATATTGGTATCGTACTGGCTCCCTAAAGACTCAGTGAACTTTAGTCCAATAAGCTAATTACATTAACATGTTTATAGCGCCATACTGTCTTTGCTGGAGGGCTTACGTAATTGACCCGATACTGGCTTAATTAGACTAATTAAATTAATCAATTAATGGTTGAATGACAGTTTCGTTAACCTTCCTATTTCTTTTTCTGAAACAATATTCAGACAAATTGACCACATTTTAAGCGGTTCCTTTGCATAATGTTCATAAATTGACATAATTTTCTTCAATTGCAATTTTTATTGAATGAATTTCATACAAAAATCGAATATTTTCAGGAAAAAAATACAATACGGTAGTTTATTACGATTTAGTTTATAATGTGGAAAATCAATTAGTAACATGCACTTTATTTACTGAGGAACACAAAGTCAATATGGTGAGATCAGGTGTTTTATTGCTATTCACCTCTGAGAGCATCTTATCATTCAGTACCTGAACCACTAAAGTACTGTACCAAGTCTACTTGACTCGAGTAATTAGAATAGTGTGACCTGCTTGCATTACACTGAACCTTTAAACAAGAACATTTCAAACACGCTTGGGCTATTTTGTCGACATTTTAAAACAATTTATACATAGAGAGAGAGAGAGAGAGAGAGAGAGAGAGAGAGAGAGAGAGAGAGAGAGAGAGAGAGAGAAAGAGAGAGAGAGGGGGGGATAATTAATAGCTTCGTGTTGAAAATCATACCTATTTCACTCGTATGCAGAAATATACAGACATATTTTACGAGTCCTTAGCAGGGATGAAACATCACGGTATATTTTGCCAAAAAATACAAAAGCAAAATCCAAATTATAAGTAGCAAATTAGGAATAAAACTCACGGCAAACCCACGGGTATTATAGCAGTATCTAACGTTTCGGGTTGTAGATCCCAATTATTCACACAGACGCATGAAAGCCTCTGTCAGTACGTCGTCACATATAGCTAATGTTTGAAATTAAACAATGTATCTATGATAGCAGGTCAGTAAATTTTAATCTTAAAAGAATACTCACTTTGATTCAAGTTTGTACTTGTTTATGGCAACACGGTTATTAGATGGCCCGATACAGGTTATTTTGACAGAGACTCTGTTTTGCTTTATTTAACTCTCCGTGCAAAATATAGAGTTGTTTTTATAAGTAGCGTTTTTGAACAGGTTTTGTTTTGGTTTTATTTTGTGTAACCTCCCATTAATAACAGCTTAGGTAATTTAAGGACGTGTCGCCATGTGTGCTGTGTATGCGTGTATGTGTGTATGTGTGCCGGAGACAGGGTATGTTGGTGTACTTGCCTCCTTGTGGTAGCGCGGATCTGAAGCCGACTTAATAGTGGTATCTCACTAAAATACCATGCAAAAATTTACTAGAGAAACATTCCGCCCGGCCATATTATACTGACAACGGATGTGCTGCAGTTAGAGCAGGAAATAACGCTAAGCAAGGTCCTAAGAAATAAAAGGTAGTTAGAAGTAGAAAGAAATCAAAAAATAAAATCACAAATGTTGCAATGGGTGCCTGTGTGTCCCCAAGTAGAGGGCATAAAAGCATATCTCTAATTCTGCAAAGGTTTCCAACATTAGTCGCCTCTTATGATTCATGCCGTGGATAACAGTAGGTTTATCCTTTTCTCGATCCCTGACTTGCAGGGGTGGGCTTTCAAAATCTGTTAGTGACCAGTTTTGGTATGAAATACCATAAACGTTTTAGGTCGATACAGGGGCTGTTTTGGTACATTTTAAATCTTGTCAATTACAAATGGCCGAAGGAAATTACCGGCTATACTATCGAGACTTAAAGTTGATAACTACCGATAATCGGACATCTGCGCGTTGTTGTCTTTTATTTCTTTACTGCCCGATGATTGACACATCGGCTTTCTAATTGGTAAAAAATAGCATTGTTGACTTCTCGTTGTATTTATTTTCGAGGTGCAGGTCAACATCGACCTTTGTAAAAATCTTTCATCGCGTATTCTGCCAATCACAGCGAAGCGAAAGCAAACGTCATATAACAAATGCTTTTTACGCTAAGACCATCACTGTTTTACAATAGATAACAAAATTAAATGAACAGTATCCAGATATGCAATTGTTAAGCTTGCTATCAGGGACAGTAAGATGAAATATATCCGGAATCTATACCATACTGTTCCGGAAATTAGTTTGTTTTTTTCCATTTCTGAATGATTGATCACGTCTACCGTTCCATTGGTTTTGATGTTATATAATGACAAATACTGCTGTTCTGCCGGTAAGTGCCGACAAAGCACCATGGGTGCCCAATCCGTCAATTGGTATGTAACGACAGTCACAGTATCTAACTTTAATATTATTTCTAATGTAGACCGCGCAGGTGTTCTTAGTTTTTGTTTATTAATGATGACGATTGGACGTCACCATCACGGTATTTGCATTAATTAAAGGACCCGTCTAGTGTTACTCTTGTCGTAATTGTGTTTGCCATAAGCAGTTTTTTCCCGTTTTCAGAATGCAAGATAAATCAATTTATCTGTTATGCTCCATGGTATCGGTGCGCTTATTGATAGGTTAACAACAGTGTGGAGTCAGAATTCCTATGAATATTTATAACATAAAAGCATCAATAAATAATCGAATCTTGCCAGTATAACGTCATCAATTTTTGAGAAAACGACGTAATTTTCTCGCATAAACCAATGACGTAACAATCAATACCTGCCCTTAAGAGGAGATAACTCTGCAATACGCAAAGACGGAATAGCTACAAGTTGGTTTAAACATATTTTTATTGCCTTGAAAATGACAAAAAGGATTGGGCACAAGTTCTTACAACTTAATTAAGCCCTCTCCTAACTTAAATACAGTTTACGTACATCATAGCTGTCTTAACATGTACAGAGGGGTTATCTTATCTGTACCTGTAAATCCACAAGTGAAGCATGACAAGATAGTATCAAAGAGTATTGCACAAAATTCTTGTTTTCTTTGTGTTTTTCAAAATCCCTAATTAAACTTAACCTTTGTAAGTGCATACGCGCTTTAAATTACATATCACCTGAATCGAAACTTTTGCTCTCTGCACGGCAGCATGCAATCAGTATTATCATTAAGGCATGCATTTATGTTGACTATTATAATGGTATCAGGATGCCATTCTGCCGAAATCGTATAAATATTATGTGATGATGGAGGGAAGAATCGGACGCAGATCTTACCGAAAAAAACTGATTGAGGAGAATTGTTTTAAAAAAGTATAAATTGATCCCTGGTATTTAAGGAGTACTTAAAAGTCACAAAAACAGAATGGCACAAGTAAGAAAGAAAGTAAAACTCTGAATACTGATATATGATGTGATGTGGTCTTGATAGCTTATAATTTCATACTATTGTTGAAGGCGGTATAAGACTTGTTACGCAGCGTTTAAATGATTTCGCAGATTTCATTTTACGCACTAATATTCCACAAAATCTGGGAATATAAACTGTTAGGTAAAGGATAGGAGTGCCTGGAAGATGTATAGTACTTATAGTATGGTATTTAGGTGCCCCAAAAGTCCGTTCCATTGGTGCTAGCTTACCTTGAAGAAAACATTTAGGGAGAAGACATTTTTGACCTTGTACAATATTAGTGTCTTTGGGATTATTGATGAAAGCTTTCTGGTGGCGATCGGGGAAAGATATAGGTGATTTTTACGTTTATTTATATTTTACCTATTTTGACTGAAAAAAAATATACAATAAAATGCAACCAAATTAAATTATTCTCTTTAATCTTTGAAAGAAAAAGTGAAATCGGGTGGAATGCAAAAGGCAAAAATATTGCGGCCCTCTGGCATTTGGTTTATTAAACTAAGAAAATAATTTAACGGATGTTTCGTTTGTTCCCACCCCAGTACCAGGAGAGGGGATGTATAGGTCTGTTCTCAGTCATCATTTCGTCATCCTCGATACGTCTGTGGTTCACTTACTTTTGCTCTCTGCACGACAGAATAAAATCAGTAATCGTATTGCTTTGACTACATTGAAAGCAGACATAAAACAAGTGAACCAGATTCTATACTTGCGTGCTTTTGCATTCTTTTAGATATTATTATCATTAAGGCATGCATTTATGTTGACTATCATAATAAAATATTTGTCTTAATCACCGACAGGTTTGACATGCGTCCTTCTGTTTGAGCCAAGCTTTGTCAGCAAGTGGACAGCGATAAAAGCACAAGATACTGTGGAAATTAAAATCATACACGATTTCGGCGAGCTTCCGGTCAAGGTGGTTGCAGAACTAAAACTTGTCATTGCGGGAAAGGAATACATCTTCAATGCACTGGGAAGTGCTCAAATCGATGACGATGATTACTCGGGGGAATTATATGGAGGGATTATCTGTGTGTACAACGAGGTTCTGGTACATATCTACGCCCCAAAATCTGCTTCTAATCCGATCGGCCTGTTAGCATACGTAGGTAAGGTGCTCACTGTTTTATATTGGTATTGTTTTACGGCCCATCGAGAATTTGTATTGATTTACGGCCCATCGAGAATTTGTATTGAATTACGGCCCATCGATAATTTGTATTGATTTACGGCCCATCGAGAAGTTTAACCATTCAGGGCCTATGGAGGTGAGTATCTCAGAAATGTTGTTGAACGATCATTCTTCAACGAAAATTAGCAAAATATGAGAATGAATTCTTTGACATGTTATAGATATGTTACTTAAATCATACCCTGACAAGGATGGAGTATTTGACTATTCTAAAGGATAAAATAAATTGTTTTCATTATCGGATATGATAAAGCATATTCACGCAGGTTTTACTTCACACAATTCTTGTAGAGAATGCATAATGGAAACGGAAAAGTATCTGCATCTGGCATTTCAGGTTACTTTTATAAGTCTTACTGCGTTTAAGATTTGTCGTTAGAATACTTTTCTCATAGCAAGCATATTGAAAGCCTCCAGACATCACCCACGTGGTCTCGAGATTTCATCCATGTGCAATTTATGAAAAAAAATCTGGCGACAAACCCTAAAAACAGTGTGTGATAAACTGTTTATCGTCTATATATTACTGCAATATCTATGTCAGTAATCTTCTATCCTGTGAGTTCTTGTGATTGTCGAGACCTTTGGTCAGCTGCATATGTAATTAGATACAACTTTTGCGTTGAGGAATACCACAAAATGTAAAAATTTGGAATAACATATTTAAATACATCATTAGCTTCTCTATATGCACATTTACGTTTAAATTTGAGTTGTTTCCTTCGCCTTTTTATTTATTTTTTATTTGATTATGATGGATGACAAAGTATTTTCTAACGCGGGGCAATATTACATGGATACTTTTTCACGATTCAAAACGTCACCTGGCGTGTGTAGACATATTTTTTTTTAGATAAATTCCCAAATGTGAATAATCCGTCCTCAAGACCTTCCCGGGTTTTTCTCAACTTTTCACGAGTATTCTGACATCCCGTGATAATAGATTTGTTTGTGCTATTGATAGATGGTATAAAGTATTATCATCTTTATACATTAACCACTTCATACTACAGTGTACCTACACATGTACCGGCAGCATGATAAATTCATTACCAAGTGTTGTCAGTGTGAGAGTATTCAGGAATAAGTTGAGAACGACTCGAGAAAAACTTGAGAAGAATTTAAGAACTGATTTTCCAATTTGGGAACGTATTTTCTCAATATTAAATCAGTAGAAAGTTACGAAAAGTAATTATGAGGTTAACAACACCGTTTGAAGCGTAAATGCGCATATTGAGGAGCCAATGTCGATAAGAATGTTTTTAAAATATTTCTTTCTGCATAGTTTAAAGTTCATTGCAATCTTCCGCGTACATCTTCTATTTGTTGACCATTGTCAATCAATGAGCCGAGAAGTCATTTGGAAAATATGATGTTTAATATACATTTTATGAATGGAGAAGTATGTTTAACAGTTTACACACAATGTTTACAGTTTGTCGTTCGTAAATGTTTCTCTTCGCTCGCACTCGATACTGCCTGCGGTCGCCGCTCGACTTTATCCACGTGGTCGCGATGGGGAAATTGTTCTTACGACAAGCACTGAAAATACAGTGTGATAATCTATAAGTGCTTAGATGATAAATGAGAAAATGTCACTTTTGTATCCATTATAATCATTTGGTAAAGAATTTTGCTGCTCTAAATGTAAGACTGTCGGCTGATCAATATGATGCGATGGTGCGTATCACCCGTGTGTGATACAAGGTCACGCACGACATATTTATGTAAATTTGTTTTACAGCTCACGTTATCAGCATGTAAGATATTGTAACAGATAATATAGTTTGAACTCTTTCATCTTCCACTCCGTACATACATTCATTTCGAACCTTCAAACCTACCACAACATCGGTATGACTACCCTGATTTATTTAGTTACGGGGTCATGTAACCAAAATAAACCTCGAAGAACGTTAACTAGCCTTCCAACCCATGACATGTAGTGATTGCGTTGTCATTTAAATCATGACGTCATTAATTCCTTTTTAGGGCGTAGATAGTTTGGTGCCTCAGTTTATTTCAGAGAAACCCTGAAAATATTATATCGGCTTTGTCCTTCTGCATGTTATCCAAAGAGATGAGGGGACGCGGCCAAGTGGTTAAGACGTCTGACATTCTGCTACCACTAGCCATCCACCCTTGGGTCGCGGGGCCACGATGGCCAAGTGGTTAAGGCGTCTGACATTCTGCTACCACTAGCCATCAACCTTGTGATCGTGGGTTCTTGCCGTTGGTCGTTGGTTTTTCTCGGAAATACCGGCTTTCCTCCACCACCAAAAGCTGGCACGTCCTTAAATAAATTTATTATAGTTGTTAATAGGACGTAAAACACAAAAAAACGTAAGAGCCGACTAATGTGTAGCCCCTTTCAAAATCGATGGTTTTCTTCTGAGTTGTTCTGATAAGTGTGCATTGAAGAAACCGAAGAGCGATTCCGTGTGCTTTTTTTCTTTAGTGTTTTGATCGTTTGCCTAAGTGGGATTGGCAATTTACTACTGCATCAAAGCGTTGTTATCTTTACGACCATATTTACAATCATACGAAATTAATTCACTATTATACTTATACTTCATGACTTTAAGATTTCGTAATTTCCTTTATTGTAAATCATTATAACCGAAATATTAAAAAGTGAATAAAGACATTTTAAACATCAAAGATGCAAATTAAATACAAAATAGCAATTTTATATGAAATACCTGGTGGTAATCATCGTACGTTTTGACCTCACCGTACGTGTAATGTCTGTGTTAATTATGCATGGAACGTACAACAGGGACAGAACAGTTCTCGGAGTCAAGGCAGCAACGGGATAATATCAGGCAATAGAAAAAAGAAAATATTTTGAAAAATAAAACTGATAAACAACATCCAGGGAGTGTCGTGTTGACAGTCATTTACTTTCTCCATTAATGGAGTTTAATTGAATAATTTCCTTGTATAAGGCGTATTGCTGAATTTCTGTATTGTAGTTAGTGTAGGCCAATATATTCGAGAACTGCGCTAATTGCTATTGCTATGTATAGGCCACGTTGTTGCTGAGAACTTCAATAGTGCTCAAGCTATTGATAAGTAGAGTTCACGTTAAACTTTTATCCTGAAAATATTGATTTACTTTTATGATGAATGTTTTGCTACAAAAATAGACAAACTATTGAATCGATAAACCGAATCTGCTAATGAAGGAGAAACAACAATGATGCAAATGAGCCTACATTTATTTGTTATAGCGCCAAGGTTTGATTGTTTAATATGCTTCAGGCAACAATCACAAATAGGATATTTTACTCTAGCTTTACGGACGCCCACTATGTTAAAATACCATTGTCTTGTCTTGTAAAGAAAATGAAAAAAAAAAATGAAAAAATATGTTAAAATACAGCGATTCCCTGAACCCTATGACATAGCATATCTACAACACAGATATGTTTCCTGTTCTCTCAGTACATAATATGTCACACATGATTGTTAATATTGCAAGGTATTTGGTAAATAGTCTTGTTTTGCATCTATCATTTTTGTGGGATTATATTTACTGTTAGTTTAATGTCTTTTCTGCTTGGGTGGTTGTCTTAAATTGTGTTTCGAATTATACAAGGCATTTAATGCATAGTGCTCAGATATCACTAGTCACAGACAAAACATTTCCAAACATCAGATCAGGATCTACCGTGAAGAATAAAGATATGATTAGTTCAAGCATTGTTAGGGTCATGATTTATATCAGCTATCACGGCAAATAGTATGCATTAAGATTCATATTAAGATGTATATGAAGATTTCGTGACCATTTGATTGGTAATTATGTAAGTATACTATGCTAAAGGAAATCGATGTTAGACATCGGTTATCTCTAAAGAGCTTCATCCCTGCTCTAATATCTTGTTCTTCAGCGTAAATGCGGCGGAGATTACCTTGTGAAAGTGAAATCCGTATCGACTCATAATCTTCACTTTTTTCTTGAAGGCCAATATCCTCAATGTACGCAGCACTAATTATATCTCATGTAATCATGTAGTGTCAGCCATATTTTAAAACCATTGAGCTTTAGGACAGGTAAGAGAATGACAGGCTGCAGTATAAACCAAACCGTTAAACCATTGAGCTTAAGGACAGGGAAGAGAATGACAGGTTGTAGTGTAAACAATACCGTTAAACCATTGAGCTTTAGGACAGGGAGGAGAATGACAGGCTTCAGTAGAAACAAAACCGTTTAACCATTGAGCTTTAGGACAGGGAAGAGAATGACAGGCTTCAGTATAAACCATACCGTTAAACCAGTGAGCTTTAGGACAAGGAAGAGAATGGCAGGCTGCAGTATAAACAATACCGTTAAACCATTGAGCTTTAGGACAGGTAAGAGAATGACAGGCTGCAGTATAAACCAAACCGTTAAACCATTGAGCTATAGGACAGGGAGGAGAATGACAGGCTTCAGTAGAAACAAAACCGTTAAACCATTGAGCTTTAGGACAGGGAAGAGAATGACAGGCTTCAGTATAAACCATACCGTTAAACCAGTGAGCTTTAGGCCAAGGAAGAGAATGGCAGGCTGCAGTATAAACAATACCGTTAAACCATTGAGCTTTAGGACAGGGAAGAGAATGACAGGCTGCAGTAGAAACAAAACCGTTAAACCATTGAGCTTTAGGACAGGGAAGAAAATGACAGGTTGCAGTAAAAACAATACCGTTAAACCGGTGAGCTTTAGGACAGGGAAGAGAATGACAGGCTGCAGTATAAACAATACCGTTAAACCATTGAGCTTTAGGACAGGTAAGAGAATGACAGGCTGCAGTATAAACCAAACCGTTAAACCATCGAGCTTTAGGACAGGGAAGTGAATGACAGGCTGCAGTGTAAACAATACCGTTAAACCAGTGAGCTTTAGGACAAGGAAGAGAATGACAGGCTGCAGTATAAACAATACTGTTAAACCATTGAGCTTTAGGACAGGGAAGAGAATGACAGGCTGCAGTATAAACAATACCGTTAAACCATTTAACTATTCAAGAATACAAAATATACCAATCAATCAATTTTCAAAATTTTATCACACTTTATCCAGCTCGCCGAGCCGTCACGAAAGGAACGCATATTATAACTCTATTTGTGAAGTGCTACGGAGAGAATAGCATGCCTTCTTGTAATGCTATTGTTTTAATATGTTAGGTTTGTTTTGCTTTTAGCGCTTTCTGGGTCCCTGTTGTCATTTTCATTGACTTTGAACTCAGGTTTGATGTTTGTGTGCTGACACGACAGGATGTATGTAAATCCTCTCTTCTCTAGGTGAATCTGGCTGGGAAGGACCTCTGAACTTAAACCCTAACGATACCAAGTCTGGACACGTTCGTGTAAAGGCATGGAAACAATGGGACTTTCCTAGGCCTGACTTCTACCATCCGTGGACTGAACTTGATGTTTTGAACCGTGAGTGATTGTCCAGTTGTTTCGTAGACATTATGTAACCTGGTTAAGTTAAAATGCTTTTCATGAATAATATTTTCCTGACGATTTAAGGATTGAATCTCGCGCAAAATTATTTAATCGTGCATTATTATGTGAAAGGTAAATACTATCTTCGTACATTGTAATCATGATATTTGACGCGGCTACACTTTTTTGTACAAATTGAAATCATCACGGTGTAATAGAAAATTACATTTAAAGTTAAAGTTTAGGTTATAATATAGCGCCGTGGTATATGCATTTTGATGATGATAATAGCTGTAAATATAGAAAAACGTAATGATTACCCACACTTACCATGGTGATACATTTTGTGTAACAGACAACTTGAGTTTTCACGAGTTTATACACAACCTTGGCGGATATCCTGACTATGTCATCGTGCAGATCAATGGGACCAGGTCTGGCATGACTGGAGAAGCCATAGGTAAACATGATACCAAGTCTCGTCCACTTAATTACATTTGTCTTGTAGCTGTTTGGAATTTAAAAATGGATAATTTATAGGTGTTAACATTTAAATTAATCCAAAAAAACTCGTTAAGCTCTTCCAGCGTCAAAGTGTATATATGTGTATGGTTACATTATCCACGATGCTTTAGGATTAACGCTGACTAACGTTCTATGCACCTCTAAAATATGTCATACCAATCTGCGCAACCTTGTGGGTGAGACAGGAAGACTAGCTGAATCCGTTGATGTACATCAAAAGAATCACATGAGACAAATGAAATAGCTAACCGCGTGACTTCAATTTTGCTACGACATATTCCAGAGGTACAGAGAGCGAAAGTGAGTACCGAGGATAGGGTACATTGCGCACCACTTGATAACTCTGGAGTAATGACCTAAACTCGATTCATCAGTTGGCGTAGATATTTACATGTATGTAAACAGAGTTTATATTTACATACAACTCTAGAGCCACAGTAAAGTAATGGAATATATGATAGTCTCTTAAATATAGAATGTTATTTGGAGTTCATGCGTTTGCGTCATGTAGGACAAGATGGTATGACTTATGTATGTCAATGTTTACCGGTTGGTCCTTCGTTAGTGGAGTTGGTGACTAGGATAACTATGTTTACTGTACCATCGCACAGCCCGTTGTTAAAAGCTATCTATTATTGAAATAGATAACGATTGTTTATGAAGTGCAACATCAGTTGTTTTTAAAGACTGTTTGTTTAGAGATTAACTTTTCTAGAGGGAAAAACAACAATAATAAAAATATCGCTGGATTTTAACGCTTCCCGAAATATGATACTTGTTTTGTTATATTGTCAAAAACAAAAAAAATCTGTGGTAAATTTTTTGTTCACCATGTTATGATATTCATTCTCCGCGTGATGTCTTTTATTTACAGTTTTTACAGTCCTTAAACAGCACATTACAATAAGGTAAAGATATTCATGAATAGCGTTCGTCCCTGTCCTTACAGGTTCGATCAGTATGCTGAAACAGTACCACGGTTTTATGGTACTTGGTGGTGTTATGTATGGCTACTCGGATACGGCTATACGTGTTTGGGCTCCCGTGTACTTACCTCAGTCAACATCACATACAGGTAAGACAAATATATATGTGTGAATTTGTGTCCCTCCTAATGACACACATCTTAACATTGTACAGGGGTATAAATCACATACAAGTAAGTATATACGCTCCCAGGTATGGACATTCATTTCTTAATATGCACTGAGAGCACATACTTTATAAATATATCTTATTTCAATAATGAGAGGGCTGAATCAAGGTCACCCATGCTTCTCCGGGGTGATAATGTGCTATGTCACCCTGCCATGAATGAATGTATATTTTCTTACACCGAGTGTTCAATTTATGTCTTGCCATCTCATCATATGAAGCAAACATGTTTGTCTCCTCTGCATGCTCAGTACAGAAAATATATCGCTTATAACCAGTAAACATGTTTGCTGATCAGAGAAGTGATTACAGAGACAATTAATGTATTCATGAGGTGAATGATACTTATTTTTGTGACTGGTATACGTAATTGTTGCTCATTCTTGTAAACAAAGCGACTAACATCGAACATTTTAAAATCTTTCTTAATGAAATGGATAACGAGAGTTTCTAAAGAATATGTAATTATATCAATACGTGTTTCGACCTGACGTCAGACACAGGCACAGGTACACATGTTTTGATATAATTACCTAAATCTATATGTCTATTATATCATAGTTTATCAAATTGCGTCTGGTTTGCTGGCCGCTGAAACTTTAATTTGTCGCTAATGATTTTTTGTAGCAGCTCTTGCTAGTCAATACATGTGTACTACCTCCTCCATGAAATTCGAATAACCACTTGTGAAAAGTTATAACTTATAATTGCACATGGTGAGCAACTGGGAACGAATAGTTCAATGCTAAAATGTATTTAGGACATGCATCACGCAGTCATTTTTGAAACAAATGACAATGCCTGTCTATATAACTTGCCTAACATATGTTGTTAGCCTCAATCGGAAAGAATCGTTTAACACCGTTCTGCTTTTTTCGCAAAATCACTTTATCTAAAATTATTTGTATAACTTGCATTAAACCGATTCCAATCATAAACTATGATCTTTAAAATTGGAAGGAGCAAGCATAGAATAAGTGTTAATAGTGAGTAACCGATAGAAACCAATATAAGCATAACGCCTGTCGAATAAAAAGTGTAATCTGGCTACCGAACCTTTTTGTTCTAAGATATAGCATTATGAATCATCTGAATCGAATTTGCAATGTGCGCAATTAAGCATCAGACGCTTACCATTCCAGAGCATCTGGTCTTATTATCCTTGTAATTTTTTTAAAGCTTTGCCCAAGTTGTATCCTTTCTGAGTTCGGATTATGGTGTTGTTGACACTTCGCTATTCTCTTGTTTTTTATTTACAAATCTATCTTGTAACAAAAAGCTGTTATAGTATGCAATAACATCGTCACATATGTGATATGTCAAAAGGTAAATAACAAACACGTCTTGTATCTTGGTATTTTCAAAACAAATGTTTTTTAATGACGAATAGTATCATAACTAATTAAAATGCAATACACTTGTACCTTAAAGTAAGATTACCCTGAGGATGTGACAGAAAAATCTCCAACCCGAGGGGGTGATATTTTTGTGGTTGTCTAATCCGAGGCTCCCCCGAGGGTTAGACAACCAAAAATCACCCCGAGGGTTGGAGATTTCTCTGTTTTACCCTTAAGGTAGGGGATGATTATTTTTCTCCCATCCTATTATTTCAGTCACAACTCCACCGACAGTAGGGTAAACAAAAACACACATGTGGGGTATGCATATCGTCATTCACTTTTGATGACGTCACAATTACCAGTGACGCATTTTAATGACGTCACAATTGAACACGTGCTAATCGGCACGAGGCTATCCCCCCTAGGGGTGACAAGCTGATCTGGTAGGAGAAGACCAAGTCAACTTTCGATCAATACGATGAATATAAAACCACGTGTGTTCTGCAATAAAAAAAAAGTGTCCAACGCATCGCTGTATTTGAATCAACAATACTTACAAATACCGTATCGAATTTAATACTCATTCAACTAAGATCTAGCGAATTGGGTGATTGTTCACAGTTAGCCAGAGAACGCACCAAGACTGGTTATTATATCTTAGTATTCCTAAACCTGTACTATTGATTTAATTTGCAGTAAATCTTATAAGCACGTCTGATGGGTGGGCGGTAACCACGAATGACTGGTTATACGAAGGACAGGGATACATGCGGATATTTGCCTGGGTGTTTGACGAGCTTCCCCTCGCCGTTATCACCGGCTCAGCAGCAACATTTGATTTCACCCAGAATGTTTCGACAAATGGCATACTAAATCAAAATATAACACTGGAACAGGTCGAGGTTAGTGCTTGTATTTTAAAATGTGATTGTTGGATTGATATAACATTTACAAATACACTATATACCATGTTCACACAATTATACACACACAATATTATTCTGTCTTCATGTGTGTATCACAATGGAAAAAATCATATTTTGTAATACTTTTTTTTTTATTACAAAACAGTGTTGCTTTTTAATATGATCTCTCAGTTACTATTCATTGTGATATCTCAAAGCCAACTATTCCTCCTATTTTTAGGTTGTTTCTCAAATAAAAAGAAATCCTTATTATTCAATTATTTTACAATGCAGAATCTGGTATTTAAATATTCCTTCTTTACATAGCAAAATATTTGCTACAGCGATAGACCATTTTCTTGTGCACTTACTTATTTGAGGATTTCTTATTTAATAAAGTCGTTTCTTACAACCGAATATTTAAATTGGTGTTTCCCTAGCAAATATTCACACTTTCAAATGTTTTATTCAAATCAAACTATTCCTACTTTATAACAGATTCAAGTCATGGAGGGACCTAATATGGGTTTTAGATTTCCTGGAGTTGGGTCAGTTTCAAATAATGGCTATTTTGGACCCTATGGTGGACTTATTTACGCCAAAAGTGGGTCAGAGGTGTTGCTATGGGCACCTGTCCCTGGATTGGATGGATATCTTTTTCATCTGAGCGATCAAGGACATTGGGGCACAACCGAAACGTACCAGGCAACCAACAACGTCGATATCCTGATCACAGTGTGGCAGGAATACCGTATAGGTAGGTTGTTAGTTAGTTTCCTTGTCTCGCCTACGTGGTAGTTTGTTTGTACACCGTTGTACTGATCGTCCTGGTGTCTTTTGAACCTTTTTCAATTAAGAATATAGATTGTCCCAAGAGAAGGTGTTACGTCATGTGTTAAGCACGTCCTGTTCCTGTGGGTGCTTGTGGAGTAACAAGACATCAAACTCGTGTTGATAGATTACGATCTGTGTCTGTATGTTTATGATATATACACAAATAAAATGTATTATCATTGATTAAGAGGTTTCCCAACGAGTGATGATTGGTTATTATGTTTATCTAACTCGAGTTAGTTAATTCCAAAATGTATAAATACATGATGTTTACCGAGTGTCTTTTACAATTTGAAAATTCACTATCGAGAGTCTGATAAACATGAACATCAAACATCACGAGTTTGGGTACCCTTTTCTCCCTCAGTGTTCGGAAAACAATTCCCATCAACTACACTGTATGACGTCATAATGCAGGATGATGTCGCAAAGCGTTGTTACTTGATTTAGTTACTATAAGACTGACCAATGAAATCGCGTCCAGTGTGTTACCCACTAGTTAGCAACCACAAAAAAAAGGTTTTATCGAAGTACGATTAACACTAGAGGCAATCCTTTATTCTGTTATAACGGACAGTTTACTTTGAGAAGATATCTGCTAATTATAATGTATTCTGGTAGTTATTGTGTCTTCCATGGTTAGAAAATAGCTGATTAGCATATGACAAAGTTAACAGTTTCCGATCAATCAAATAAACCAATCTCTAACTGACAATGTCGACTATCGAAATATGAAAGCATCATCTGAAAAGCTATCGTCTCGTCTAAATGTCAACACGGTATTGACGTTATGATAGCGTCGTAAATAATCGCTAATATAATTTAAATTTAATTTGAGAATACAATAAAAAGGGATGAAAATCGACCACTTAGTAGATTAATGATTTGAATTATGTAACATAAAGAAATGAAGGATCGTTAGGTAAACATTTTTATTGTTCGGTCTGCGGAAATTTGCCGTCATATTTGAATATACATGTACATGGAATCGAAAATAACAAATAAGATGCAAAACCCAATGAGAATGAATAGAACATTCGACCTCCTGTAATAGTTTTAAAATACATTAACAAAAAAGATTATGTGTGTACATAAATATAAAATATACAAAGGTATAATATGTTTTTCAACTTGACACTTTACACAGATAACATGTGCTCACTCCTTAACAACCTGTAAGGATGAGTACGTTTTGTGCACGTGCATTATTTTGTCCCTGTGCCGCTAGTATATCACATGGATGTCATAATAATGAAACTACCGGTGTCCATTGCCACTTACGTGCTGTACTCATTGTCGTGGTTCAGTCCGTGTTAACCAGAGTATCCTTCAATCTCCTATATGATTCTTTGCACTAATTGACTTCGAGTAAGGTTGTATGTGATACACTATCTCAGCGAGAGTGATTGAGGTTATAGGTTTCATTCTGTGTCGGAGTTGATAAACAACACACCACCGTCGCCCATCCTTCAAACATCATAGGACGCATTTTGTAAAGGTTGCGAAGTTGAAACGCAAACCCCATGGTATACAGAAGGTATTCGTACGGAAGCGATGTAAGGCAGAACGATTTTGTTAAAGGGCTGAGTTCATGGTCGAGGACAACATTCAGAAACTCAGATCGAATTTCAAATATGTTTGATTTCTTTCACAATTTACATATATTTTTCAAATTACAGTTACCTTATTGTAGAGCATGTTCGAATACGTTTATTCGCCATGAGGTTTTTTTTAACAAGTACAGTTTTTATATATTTGTTTCGCTTTCCTATGACGACTCGGCCTTCATACTTAGTTGAGTTATGGCTTGTGAAATTGATTAATTGCCAGGAAAATGTTCAATGGTAAAGGAGTAACAATTGGAGGCTGGACCTTAGGACAAGGAAGTATAGTCGGCAGAGATACATGTATCATGTCTTTTCTGAACGAATCTTCAGAGTTGGCGCAATATCTCGCTCTATCCAAGACGAAAGTAAGACTTAATGACCCCGTGATCAAAGAGAATGCCAACAATCAAATATCACCAAATAATTGACTATTGATTATTGACCTCATCGGTAGAGACGATGAACAACAATTAATTTGGAATTAACTGAAGCTGTAAGACTTTGAAACCTTTTCATGAAATGATTCAATATGGAAGTCCTACAGGTGAAAATGAAATACGAATATATCTAATTGTAAAGATGTCTGTTTTCCCTTAAGGGAATGGCATATTGATCCGTTAATATATGTGTGCATGCTACCATAACAGTTAATCGAAGAACTTGTAGTATACATTGTAATATCTTCAGTATATAACAAGGGCCCGTCCATTCAGATCAGCAATTAAGTTTGACCTCCACGCAGAGATTAATATTAGATAGGACGGAGACCATTTGGCTATGTTGATTAATTCTGGAGTGTCACGCCTTCGCAGCAGTAAAAAGATTGTTTGATGGTGGTAATAATGGGGGCATCAATGGGCCAGCGACATGATGTGTCATCACTGGTAATCGGTAATATGACACTGCAGCAGGTAATAGTATTCTTGCTTAAGTTAACCAGATAGGCCCAGAGAAACACTATCGAATAAAAGGGTAGATAGGATGGAAACGACAATGTACAATCCAGAGAGTAACAATATGGGCAGTTAATCAATGCACGGGACAATTAATTACATGATACAATGTCATCACCTTCCTGTTCAAATTACAACGGTAACCTTATTTGTGAGAGCAAGGTTCGTGTGGGAATGAGTACCGAGCCGCTCTCCAAGCCTCATGAACCATCGCACTAACTCCGGTGTCCAAAACCCTTAACATAATCCTGTCGTCTCAGAACACTGAGATGATCCTATATAGGTTTTCGCTAGGGTGTGACCCCCGATATATGATTTATCTTATAGATAGTATGTAATCTATCAGACGTTTTATCTTTGTGATTGTTCATAAGGTGACGTCACGTGCCCCGTCGATCAGCTGAATGTCTTTGAAGTGGCGACCAACACCAACGCAGTCGTGAATGATGTTGGTTACAACGGCAATCTAACGTTTGATTGTATGTATGGGTACGTGTACCGGGGTGGGAACACGTCAGCCACGTGTGACAGGTACGGGGAGTGGAACTTTCTTAACAACGATACCATCACGTGTGAACGTGAGTAGACCTGACGCAATCAGTTAGAAACAATGAAAGCTTATTGACCTTTAAGGAAGTGTTATATATTTTAAAAAAGCAGTTTTGTCATAGAAATATAGAGATTTTACCGCATAATCTTGATAACATTATTAACAATTAACCGTACTTATTTGTATTGCCTCGCATGCATTATTTTATTTTATTGTTGCTTTTAAATAATCTATCCTGTATTCTTTCTTGTTATTTGATGGTAACTTATTAGTTTCGAATAAATCGGTTACTACTACCTATTTCTTTAATAGTGTTTACTATTATAGTTACTGCTCTAATAATTCCCACTACATCATTTACTATCTTTTTGCATTTTTATGATCTAGGATTTATTATTTATATTATTTATTCAGATTTGTTTTGAATTTTTACACTATCGAATACATTATTTACAGTTATCGTTTGTTTCCATATTGTCTTTAATAACAGTATAAACTGTCAGAATGTAAAGTTGTTTTTGTTAAGTATAGCACAAGTAGGACTTTAAAACAACTTAAACTTTATAATACAACAACAGGGGCGTGGCACATATTCAAAACCCCAAGGTCCGTATACAAACGGACCGTGGGGGTTTAATATTTGTGTGACTGACTCCTCTATCGTTACAGATACAAGGGTCGTATATGTCTTTTGATTTTATTTTTCTTTAAACTATTGGATTTGTTGGGACATTTAAAAAAATGTTTATGGTAAACTGTCCTATTTCCTGTTTGCGCAGTAATACTATGCAACACGACGGAACTGACAACGCCGAACGCATTCTTAATTTTAACGGGAGAAAATAAAGTGGATGACGTTGCGATGTATAACTGCAATATTGGGTACGAGCCCATTGGCGGAAACCTGTCACGTGTCTGTTTGTCGAGTGGTAACTGGAGTGGGACTGCGCCCTTATGTCAAGGTACCAGCTTACCCAATCAATGGAATGTTCTATGGAGTTTTTCCTGTGTTTAATGTGACCTAATGCATATCATACACAGGCTACACAAAGTTCCCTCTAGTTTCCGTTATCTGATTGTATTTCTTTGATAGCGTTGTTCACTGTGGTGACAAGACATGTTAAATGGATACGATACAGTCGTAAAGAAACGTTACCATACAAGACACTAATTCTTAACAACTAGGCACTTGGCTATCACATAGATAAAGATTCAATACATATTATATCATACAAGGGGCTAGTGGCAAAAATGTTGAATGTGACAATAGCCAAATCAATATATATATATATATATATATATAGAACAATAAAAATGGGATTCGTGCTGAGCAAGATCCCCCGAAAACTTACGGTAACACCCTTTCGTGAGACCAAGTAAAAGATCTACATTCTACAACATTACGCTTTAGTTTAAATCTGTTTCTATGAGATATCAAATGTCTCGCACATAAGTAAAAGGTAGGACGGCTCATTGATTCAGATTTTGTGGTTTTTGTATGTTGAAAAAGTGTAGTGAATTGTCGGAACCACCTTTATTTCAATATATATACTTCCCTATCGGGGTTTTAGCTGTGGCGACCACCACTGAAACCCTAACAACAATAACATCTGAAGCCCCAACAACAACAACAGCAACGACTGAAACCCCAACAACAACAACAGCAACGACTGAAACCCCAACAACAACAACAACAACAACTGAAACAACTACAAGCACTGAAGCGCCAACAACAACAACAACTGAAGCACCAACAAAAACAACAACAACTGAAGCCCCAACAACAACAACAACAACAACTGAAACAACTACAACCACTGAAGCGCCAACAACAACAACAACTGAAGCCCCAACAACAACAACAACAACTGAAGCCCCAACAACAACAACAACAACCACTGAAACAAATACAACCACTGAAGCGCCAACAACAACAACAACAACTGAAACTCCAACAACAAATGAACAACAAACAACAATTGCGGCAGGTAACAAAAAGTGTTCTGATATTTTATTTATCTCCTTTCAACCTTTGAGCATCCAAAGGTGAGTAGTTGAGTTCAATAAAGTATTTTCAGCTCCTGATTAGTCCTAGAAATAAGATATTAATGTGATCAATAAAAGTTGTAAATATGGTATATGTAGCGATATCAGCCTTACAAATACACCAACGTTACGTTAGTTACTGTACATTTAGGTGAAATTTACATGTGTGACCATAAAGAATTTCTCAGAAACAGAAAAAAATCGAAATGTGGAAGGGGGAACGGTTTTTAGGTTCTAAGCTATGTGAATGTCAAAACTTCGCGAATTCAAGTCTTGATCTGCTCTCTTTATTTTGTTCTGGAAGGAAGGGACAGATAACTCTGAACTGAATATCATTTACATAGAAAAAGATCAGAGGGTAAATAGCTCTTAGTAAAAGGTAATTGCAATACTCTAAATACTCGAGTAATGACACATAACTAGAACTATTAACAATATGTGTAGCAATATAACACAATACGTGACAAACGGTGTAATTAATCGAGTTGAATTCATCAGTATTCCTTTTATTTTGATCACCACCAATAGCCTGTCCTATCGTCGGTCTGGAAGTGCAGTTTGCAGAAATGACAATATCCAGTACAGGTGATATGGTGACGTATATGTGTCCGTCGTTGTACCCCCATATCTATGGGGATCTGACTCGGACATGCCAGGCGGACGGAACCTGGAGCGGAATAGCACCTGTTTGTGAGTGTGAGTATAATTTAGTCGTCTGTGATTGAAAGCGAGGTATCCCCTATCCGTCAGTCTGTAATTGCCTTTGTCCTTCTGTCTGTGTTTTGTATCTAGGAACTAGAAGCTGAAATCCTACTGCTATGTTTTATGAAGGACCTGTGAATAATTATAATTGTACCATTTACAAAGACACGTGGGAGGCAATTATGCAAAGTTTATGATAACGAAATGAACCCAGATTGTCTGACATTTTTTAGAAATGTTACATTATTAATCTGAATCATCAATAAAACATTAATACACGGTTGAAAAGAATAACACTGATATTTATATTAAAATAGACATTGAAATTCCTTTTTTTCGAAATTAACTTTTAATCAATCTACAAAACAAGTTTCTTCCATAAAGTGGTTCACAGATATGGATGTAGTTAAAATATAAAGAAAAAAATCACAAGTATAGTGCATATGGTAAAAGCAAATCTGTGGTGTCAAATTTATTAATGAATGGAAAGTATGGATAACATGTCCGGAAACGTTTTTTCTATTTTGCTTCATTTTCCTCTTCCGAGTCTTCTATCGTTCATTTTTTTATATGAGCCTCTTACGAAATAGCTAATTTGGTGACGGACTAATACGAACAATTTGGTTTTTTCCAGCGATATTAGTATATGGTTGTAAAGTATTTTCGAGCTTATGTCGTTAAAGTACAACAAAGTATAATGTAATATACTGAGGACGATATCGTGAGAATGATTAAGTTCAATATATATCTATCTTTAGTTCGGTGGCAAGATTTTCCAGCATACTGTAGCAAGTCCAATAGGAACAAACTGTACGCCTCTTCTGGCCGTTTTGTTTCTGTTTTCATACGAAGCTGAATTCATTGATGAGCTTATTAGTGCTGGAAACGAAAACCTAGTCATGTCCAACAATTGCACATTTAAAGTAACAACATTTTTTTTTGTCCGCATCGATACCACCCACAGCTTGACATCAAGGGCACCACAGAGTGCTACTATGTTGTATAAGCTTCCACTACCTACGATATGTACATGCCGCAGTTGATTCGGTACTCAAGAATATCCTAACTTCCGTGTTAGATGTCGACTGCTGACGGTGAAACACATTGTTACCAAAGATGCGGGTTGATGAAGACTATGAGCAAACTTTATGGTCGTTATCGGGTTATCGCAGGGGAAAAGGCTAGTTCGTGTTGTTATATAAAGGTTGAGTGCCTTATGGTTTTGGTGTCACTACCCTAGTTCTCGACGCGAGGACGTGGCATTCCTTGCAAGCAGCTTAGACGGCATGGTGTGTATCTTCGGTGAAGCAGATGACGCTTACTTGTCCGGAACATCTGGTCTTATACTCTTTGTACCTTTTCATGGTTTTCCATGTTAATCTCTCCTTTGTTCATATTTTCTTCTTTTTTCAGAATTTGAGTACGAATTGTTGTTTTATTGACACTTCAATTTTCTGTTGTTGTTTTTGCCATTATTATGAAAGAGAAAATAATTGCCATAAAGTTTTGTATTGAGATGATCTTTTTAAAAGCCACGTTATGAATTAATTTTAAAATAACTATAGACGTTATTGATTTAAGGCGACAGCGATTTCACCTCTATAAGCAACATCACCGTACGTTCAACATTTTTGTTTAAAAGTCAACACATTTGTTTGTTTTCAGACTGTCTTTGCCCGTGTTTCGACAACACCACCCTCCCCGAGCAGACACTCCAAGAACTTCTGCACGAATTAAAGGAGGCACTGACTGTTGAACCTTCCCAAACATCACTGGCCATTCGGAAGAAAATCAGCGTTTACGAAGATCGTGCGAGTGCTAAAGGTCTCGGGGCTCTAGGTGTGGCTGTGCTGGTGTGTGTCTTACTTCTGATCATCATCCCCGATATACCCCGCATCGTCTCAGATGTCAAACATTGAAAAGCAGATCATAAACCGGGCATTATAATAATCACGCATATCTGGTATGTTAAGATATCTCAAAATATCAACACATAGTTATCTATTTCACTTACAAACCTTAACATTTACCATATTTAATATTTCTTGATTATCAATCGATCCCGGTCTGAACATGTCATGTTTACAAACCAAGAGATACCTGTCATCTTTCATGAACAATGCAGCCCTAAACATGTTTACGATCCTTGACGCGATTACACTCTTTATGAAGTAATAGCAATCCTGAACATACATGTTTCTGAGAGAGAGAGAGAGAGAGAGAGAGAGAGAGAGAGAGAGAGAGAGAGAGAGAGAGTCTTATCGTCGTTCATACAGTGGATATGATCAATCAATTATTACATGTACCATGTACCACCAACAACTAGTAAAAGAGAGAGTGAGACACAGAACTGGTTAATAAAATGTCATGAATATTTTTAAAACCCATAAATATAACTTACACACTCTACACAAGAGTTCTGCTTCGGTAATTCGAACTCGGGTGTGGTGCCTCTTGATCATTTTTAGAGAGGCTCTGAAAAAGAGAAATAGGACTAGTGAAACAAGAGCGAGTGAGGATGATTTCCCGGTCAAGTGATCAATAAAATAAAATCAGACACGCTGTTATATAGATGAGGTATAATTATAGTTTAAAATCTCTGTTTGTTTATACCAATTTTTACATGCATCATCATCTGGTCAGATTGTCGCAACCTTGTCCATTTTACCAACAAATAAAGTTAACCATGAAGTATCTAGTAAAAATATATGTACAGAGCTACGACTTGCAACATACGTCTAAATATTTGTCAAATTCCATAAGTATTACACTAGTTCTGAAGGACCATTATATATCTAAATGCGAATCACGATGTGCTGGTACAAATACAAAGTTCTTGTATAAATCGCATTTTCAATTTTTCATAATCCTGGAATACTGTAGCTTGGAAAGCTTTGTTAGAAAGATGATTGTTGTACTATGTTTGTGTGTGAAGAAATTGCGAAATGAAAAATATGTCGGATGCAGAGAAATAAAAAGGAATAGAAGTATCTAGCTGAATATGCAGTTTACAATTGTTAACCCTTTCCTTTTTTCACACTTTGTAGAAAGTCATGTTTTGTCTATAGTTTATAATAAAATATTTGTTATAAATAAATGTATAATATTGTTTTGTTTTAATTACAATGATATGTAAATGTCTTTAACAAGTTGAACAAAGTTTTTCAAATACATTTGAATTAACATATTATTATGATTGAGAAATAGGAGCGTGGAAATTCGGAATTAACAATGAACCTACGATTTTCACCATACAGTGACAACCACTCACATTAACAACAAACCTACGATTTTCACCATAAAGTGACAACCACTCACATTAACAACAAACCTACGATTTTCACCATAAAGTGACAACCACTCACATTAACAACAAACCTACGATTTTCACCATAAAGTGACAACCACTCACATTAACAACAAACCTACGATTTTCACCATAAAGTGACAACCACTCACATTAACAACAAACCTACGATTTTCACCATAAAGTGACAACCACTCACATTAACAGCAAACCTACGATTTTCACCATAAAGTGACAACCACTCATATTAACAACAAACCTACGATTTTCACCATAAAGTGACAACCACTCGCATTAACAACAAACCTACGATTTTCACCATAAAGTGACAACCTCTCACATTAACAACAAACATACGATTTTCACCATAAAGTGACAACCATTTACAAATTTACTAACTGCACCGAAATGATGAATACAATTGTAAATGGATGATATGAATAGACCGGGTCCTAATCAACGTGTAGGAATGTTTTGAGTAAATACAGTCCGTAATTATGTATACAACCATAATTACAATGACAGTTCATAATAGGACAATTGGATACTTTCATACATATAGGATGTCACTTCTTGCCAATATTGTCGCGAAGAAAAACAATGCAAAGTATCGACATCTCGAAATAGTCTCTTCTGATTTGCTCATGCAAGACATAAACAGTCGATGATGGCATTTCAAATGACCATCGGGATGTACTGGGTGGAATTTTTTTCCAAAGGCCGGATGGATCGAGTTTTTCATTAGTTGAGGCCAGTTGCAGAAAAACACAAAAAACATACATGTAAACATATTTTTTCTGATTATTTACTGTTGAAATTCTGTTAAATTTAGATTCAAATTCTTTTAAGCGATGGTCAAAACTGTGTAACGATCAACGGTTTGACAGAACAATAAGATGTAGATGAAGGAGACACATTGGAACCAGAAGCAGTGGAAGTAACACGTAACTGGTAGCGTGGGGTAACTATTCGTTCATTATTGGAACGAATAAACAGTGACCTGTCATTAGCGAGGCACGATAATAAGACGACAATTCATCAGTCAGACACTATGCCGACACACTTCTTCTATCGACTGAATTGTCACGATTAGTCGAAGTATGTATCATTAATAGTCGATTTATTGTTAAAGATTTTTGAAACATAATAAACTCGACTAAAATTAGCTGGTTGCAGGAAGATGCCAACATAAAAAAAAGTATGTGGCAGAGATGATAAATCGCACCATTAACACAACTTTTTCATAAAATGTCTTTAACTTGGTGCTCAAATAAGTAAAACTTAAATGCTGTACAAGTGAATCGTCCGTGTGATATATATTATCTTACTTTACAATACACAAATACTCAAAAATATTAACATAGACATTTAGTGTTCCTTGTATAATTAATTGCGTTTTAACATTCGAACCAATTTCATTCCTGTATTGAATTCAATATTCTATACATCTTCATAACAGGGTTACTGTACCTCGTTGTAATATTATATGTAAATCATCCTAGCCATGTATATTAGTTCAGGAAATGCCCGATTGTATTTATAAAATAGATTTGGAAACAACAGCAGCACATTCTCCATTGTATAAAAGAGAATGAATCCTACCATGACATGCTTGACTTGACAATATGTATCGAAGGTCAGTATCAAAAAGGTAGAAGCAAATTGATTCACGCCTTCTTAGATATTTAAATTATAACTAGCCAATACTTGCTCTAGAATTGAATTTAGTAGCGTATAAAACACATCAACACACGAGAAAAGGTATTGCAACCACGTTTTTTCAGATTGGTGAATATATATCGTATACAAGTTCCTATATCACACCAGTGTCTGACGTTTCGATGACTTCAGTCCTATTGTAAGTATTATGTCGCATTTATCAAACAAATGACAAAGCGAACGAACATTTAGAGATTAAAAATGTATGAGATGAGAGTCGAATCGAAATGTCGAATCGGCCAAGTTGTTTAAGCGTAGGTGTCTTTAATTGTGAATCGAGATGAGGGGGACTCATATCCTATCTCGCATATATGGCCAGGTAATAAACAAAGCGTTAATAAAACCACTCACCGTTCTTTTGTTATCTTGTTCATTGTTTGCACCTTAGTGCATACGTTTTACTGTCATTTGTCTTGCGAGGGGGCCGAGTACATATACATTGTATGCATCTACTTCTATATAACAAAATTTGTTTTAATGTGTCTTTACAGTAATTAAACTTGACAAACCGTCGATCCAGATGTATAATTTTCCATTACTATAATGACATTTCCGAAACGATTTTTGCTGACTCTTTGTTCAATTCTGAATGTATGCATTGCGAGATGTTAATCATGGGATGTCAGTCAGTGTGAAGGACAAGTTTTGAATTTTATATTTATTAACATACAACCAATTCAAACTTAACCTTAACATTTCATTATACTAATGCTACTCCGTAGAAATAAGCAGAGAATGATAAGGCTGGATTGATGGAAAAGTAAACAAAGTTAACAATCAATTGTACTTAACAGCCTAGGGTTGATTTATAGTTTAATATCATAATCAGTTTCGTTTCAGAAGTCTACATTTCCTAGCACAAAAGTTGTAGCAACTTTACTTATGAACATAATATCACAACCTAGTATTAAGGAAAAAGTCGGCAGCATGGGGTTGTCATATATGACCTGATAAAAATAGTCTTCTTTAGCACTTTGTACATGTATAAATAGTTCACACACAAAACAAACACAATTTGAGGTCACATGCACACGAGCGCTCACACATACATACAGTGACACACACACACATGCTGTGTTTTATTCCTAAATGCATGTATGTTACACCTGTTTCATCTATTTTCTGTCACATTTTGATACATTCTGAAATATTCTTGATCATAAATGTTATTTGATTCAAAATAAATCCAGATCAGATCACCCACTTTGATACAACTTATTGATTTCCTACTAGGTTGAAAACATTAGATTTAACCATGTGACTTCAGGATTCAACTGAATCTCGAGTTTGACAGGTGCGCGACACAATATTTCGCATTGTCGTGATGTCAACATCATCGTGATAACATCAGAGTATTAAAATTCATCTTGACAATATCATATAAATATCTCATATATCAATCATTATAAATAAATATCTCATATATCAATCATTATAAGTATTTATCACAATTATCAAATAAGTCAATTTCACAAGTCATTTGAATGACTTCCCAGAGAAGCAGTGACACTTGTGAGAGACAAATGTGAAATGTCAATGCCCGTTTCGTTATACGTTGACTGTCGTCAATTATCCCTTGTCTTACCAACAATACTACAAGCGTTATCCTAAACACGCAAATATACCCTCAAGTATATCCTTCCTTTACTGTTTACTCCCCTAAAACCCCATTCTAACTGAAAGCGTTACACACTTTTCGTCGAAGATGGCATCCTTATTCCTCTGAAGTGTTAACGACATTTTAGCAGTTGCCGTGACGGATGATGTTGGCCATCGTATACGAACTTGCATCAGTACTCGAAGCCAAAATATCTCCCAGTGAAAATCTTCTTCACGACTGTAACTAATGCATCTGCTTTTTCCTGTATTTAGTAGGTAGTTGTCATGGTAACTACTTTAGTGATAAGGAGCTGCCTGTATTTAGTAGGTAGTTGTCATGGTAACTACTTTAATGATAAGGAGTTCCCTGTATTTAGTAGGTAGTTGTTATGGTAACTACTTTAGTGATAAGGAGCTGCCTGTATTTAGTAGGTAGTTGTCATGGTAACTACTTTAATGATAAGGAGTTTCCTGTATTTAGTAGGTAGTTGTCATGGTTACTACTTAAGTGATAAGGAGTTTCCTGTATTTAGTAGGTAGTTGTCATGGTAACTACCTTAGTGATAAGGAGTTTCCTGTATTTATTAGGTAGTTGTCATGGTAACTACTTAAGTGATATGGAGCTGCCTGTATTTAGTAGGTAGTTGTCATGGTAACTACTTTAGTGATAAAGGAGTTTCCTGTATTTAGTAGGTAGTTGTCATGGTAACTACTTTAGTGATAAAGGAGTTTCCTGTATTTAGTAGGTAGTTGTCATGGTAACAACTTTAGTGATAAGGAGTTTCCTGTATTTAGTAGGTAGTTGTTATGGTAACTACTTTAGTGATAAGTAGTTTCCTGTATTTAGTAGGTAGTTGTCATTGTAACAACTTTAGTGATAAGGAGTTTGCTGTATTTAGTAGGTAGTTGTTATGGTAACTACTTTAGTGCTAAGGAGTTTCCTGTATTTAGTAGGTAGTTATCATGGTAACTACTTTAGTGATAAAGGAGTTTCCTGCATTTAGTAGGTAGTTGTCATGGTAACTGCTTTAGTAAACAGCACTTGTCAGGATAAAATGTCTCTGGCAACTGCTTTTGTCACACATTCGAAAAGTCCATATTAGCTATTTCGGTAAACGTCTTGATTCTGACACAATAAACATTAAGTACGGATAACGCGTGATATGTAACACAGGACAGATGGGATCATTAGGACTGACTCAATTGTTGATTGGTTTTGTACTGTTTTACGGTCCATCGACAATAGGCGCTTACAAAACAGAGTGCATCATTGGAGAAAAAAATCAAAAGCAATCAGTTCTTGAGTTCTTGTTAATAAAGATATGAACTGAAAAGTGCGAGGAATGTCAATACCTCCTAGAAGGAAGCAGGGTAGCAGTACCAGGCATCACTCCCTGTTGATACAGACCGCCAAACCAATAATAAGTGTGTTCCAAACGGCCCAACAACACAGAAGATCAATTGGACCAATAAAAGGAAGGGAAAACATGTTAAAGGAAATACGACAACACATCAACATAAAGGTTAAGAATAGCTCTGGGTAGTTATATCATTTTGAAAAGACCAATAGTATTTCCTCAAAGTATACCGTTATCAGTGATATTTAACCTATGTTACAGCTAAGTCGACTTGCTTGCTTTACAAATGCACTACATGCAATTGTGATAACATGTTTTTGATTCAAAAGTAACGAAAGCGGTAACGATAATTCATAATTTGAAATCATTCCTGCCTTCATACCTCAACACCTGCAGGTTAAGAGAAAAAATAAACCTTCTGTGACGTAATTGATCACTGCAACATTTTGAATCAGTGCCTGTTCTTTTCTCAATTCCGTAATCTTTCCCGTCATACCGGAAAGATAACCAAACTGCTTATCTTCACTAATATTGCAAGTCAACCAAACATTCTACCTATTCTTTTTGCTGTGTAAAGTTTAAAGGGAATGTGTCGGGATTTAATGGTGTAGCGGTTTGTATCAACACTGTGTGTGCTTCTTAATGCTGCTACCCTCAATCTTCTTCCAGGTATTTGAGATATTCACTTGTTTCAGATAATTTAATTCAGTAAACGGCTACCTAGATTTATAATGAATTGACCACCTTATCAATAATTTAATTTAATTAGATATTGGCACATTGACATTTACTGGTCGATACCATGTTGAGCAATGAAAAAAAAATATAAATAAGACCAGACCAGACCATGTTTTATATGATACCTCTTAAGGAGGAAGTTGAACAGGGATGCATGAGATATGCGAATAAACCCCTAGCGAGCATACCAGTACGGTGTTACATATCACACGTGATCAGTATGGAATCTTACATGTCAAAAGAAAGAAAAGGCATGGGCTATCCGAATGTGACAAAAGAACTGCGTTCGTAAGGCAGTTGATAGGGATATTTTATCCTGACAAGTGTTGTTTACTGAAGCAGTTGTCGTGACAATAACCTATCAAATAGACAAAAAAAAATATCTAAAGCAGTTGCCGTGACGGCTGTAGTGGGTCATCGTATTTAAGTAACTGAGCACGTATATTACATATGTGTAATATTTTGTCTTAGTCATCACACTATTTTAGTAGCTTTGACCTAGCGACTGTGAAGACGAAATACGTGACTTTTTAAAACTGTGTGTCACACTTCTGATTGACGTTTAAGGATTCCCGTACCACTGCCCAAAAGTTTGGCATGACTATAGCTTTGATAAATCATTTTTGAAAGAAGAACAAACATACCTTGCGGTACGTTTATGAAAATAATTAAAGATGAAATAAAGAAAATATAATTTCGGTAGGATTAGACCAGAATTCGGAGCCTGGACTTCAGATTGTAATCCTTTCGCTCTAACGGACAGAGCTATTGTGTCAGCGGAAGAGTTCTAACCCAACTGTACTACTACAGTTTTATCCAAAACGAACTAGAGGGAGGTTACTCCACATACTAAAAACCACCGTGCTGTGGGACAGGAACCTTAAGCAACTACATTGGAATAGTTCTGCAATTTTCTCTGACCGTGTCACACTTCTGACTCGGTAAATGTGTCCTTCGGATCATCAAACGACACATGTCTATCAACATTGTTGTTCCGACTCATTATTTCGTCCTCCTGAATATGTTTAAGAATCCCATTTCTCTCCAACAATGGCGTCGTCGCTGTGATGAGGTCATCAGTCATGTCATCTCCTTTGGGCGGAAGGCCATTCTCGCGTTCCACAATCTCGTCCTCTTCGGGTCCAGCGCGGTCGTAACGTTTAAGAAACAGTTTCCACATTTTTTCGATAATATCCTGAACAATGACGGTATTAGCATTGTCAGAAATCTGCTTCAATATGTAGACGCCATCCTGTTTTAAATGCCCATGTATGAACAGATTTATTCGAGTTTTCTGAAGATGATTTCTTTCATATATTCCCGCCATTTGAAGATATTTCTTTATGAATTTGCTTCGTTGGAATGGAAAGACAGCAATACACAGTGTTACACAGACGTTTAAGATATTCAAAAATGTTAGCATTGTGTACCAAAACCAAAGTATAATAAAAAACTTTTCGTTGAATAAATTCATAGGTAGTACACACTGAAGTGTCCATCGGTGGACATTGTTCAATTGTCGAAGATCGAAATCGCACAAGGTTTGTCGTGGAAATCGTTCGGTCACTGTCCAATCATCTCCTCTTAGAAATCCTCGGATCACTTCGTAACCGTAGATGTAGAATCTGTTTCCTAAGAACTCGTTCAAGAAAAAAAGAAGTCCAAAACTGACACAGAAGTAAAGAAACCGAAGTAAAATTTTACACGAGATGAAATAATTTCCGTAATGTCTCCCACACCCAAAAACGAAATTTGTGCTAAAACTTTCTCTCAGAGAGGCACACGGTCCGCCACGGAAACGACTTATATTTGCGCAAAATAAGTCGATATATCCCGCAATGATGGTTAATCCTTTTTCCCGTTGCTCGGGAGACACGTCAATGGTTTTTTTCGCTGCTATACACATTTTCTTGAGCTCCATCCCAGCCTTAAGCATCAATAACTTCCATATCAGACGAGGAAGGAACAACAGAAATGCCATCAGAAATAGAATTAATGGAACCCATTGATAATACACGAGTTCAGTCGATTCTTCACGACGAATCTCGAAGTTTGACGGAATTTGCCGATTGAAAGGGATGTAGTATGTGTTCGATACATAACAAAGACTGTGGACGTATTTGACTTCCTGTTCCGTGAACTCATCCGGGCACCAGCAGTAGATTGGGTTCCCGATGTAGTCATCAGTCATCAGGTAGAGATTGTAGAAAGACAGAAATATCACAGTGTAATATCTGTTGGTTCGGTCTATAAAATTCTCATCGACTCTTCCTGTTTTACGTATGAACATAAACCCAAGGAACTTGTCAAAGCTGTAAAATAAAGATAAAAAGATGCAAATCAAACCGTAAAATGAAACATGTATCTCAGGGCTGTGTTAGGAATGGGAAAAAGTAAGAAATCTTAGTAAAAACGGGGGACCCACCTCACCCCCCTTGAAACTTTAGTTTGTTGTTTAAACAGACCAGGAACTTTCAAAATCATTGGGAAATAGGAGGAAAACAAAATATCACTTAAAAGAAAAAGAATCACATCCCTGCAAGTATTTAACAGACACCAAACAATTCTTTCGCGCTACAAAATATGTCCTTTGCTCGCTAAGTCAGGGTTAGAGTGTACGTTTTAATGTTCCCATTCAGACCCCAACAAAGAAATTGACCCCTCCCCCTCCCCCTCCGCCTCCCAAACCCACCCATCCGCCTCTCAAACCCTC